AAATACGTTTATCTTGGCGCAATGCAATAGGTAAATCATCATCAGATGGCATAGGTAGAGGAGGGGTAGGAACCTCAAACACAGAAGATGAAGTAGCTGGGCCATAAGAAACCACGCGACGGGCTTGAGACCGCTGATAAACCTGTAGAGGAGATGACGGAGAAGAATCTAAACCGATGCAAGATGACGGGGGAACAAAGGGCACTGGAAGAGTAGCAGTTGGAACGGATGTCTCCTCATGACAAGAGATAAGATCCCCTGACAACTGCTGACTAGGTGAGGAGAAAAAAGAGGTGGATTCTAAAAAGGTAACATCAACACTAGTAAAGACTGAAGAGACTAAGGGTGATAACACCGATAACCTTTCTGTGTATGGGATTAGCCGACAAAAACACATTTTCGAGCACAGGGAGTTAGTTTATACAACCTTGGATCCAGGACATGGACAAAGGCTAACCAAAAGCACGAGGAGGAAGAGAAAACGGAGAACAATTGGGGTATAATTGAGAGAAGGGAGACTGATTATGTAAAACAACGGCGGGCATGCGGTTAATAAGGGAACATGCAGTAGGCACAACATGACTCTAAAATTGTTTGGGAATATGCATATTAAACATCAAGGTCCGGGCAACATCTAGTAAATGTCGGTGTTTCCGCTTAGTAAAACTATTTTGCTGTGATGTATGAGCACAACTAGTTTGATGGATAATACCACGAGCATCACAAAAAACATTCACAATAGATTGCACATATTCTAAGGCATTATCAGACTGAAATATTTTAATGCATTTCCCAAACTGAGTAAAAATTTCATTATAAAACTTAGAAATTATTTGGGAAAGTCAGATTGCTGCCGTAATAAAAACAACTAAGTCATCCAAGAATAATCATCCACAAAAATAAAAAAAATAAAAAAAACCATTAACAGTGGGAGTGTGTGAAAGACCCCATATGTCTGTATGGACTAAATCAAAACACGCTGACACACGACTAACACTACGACTTGAAAAAGAACTACGGTGATGCTTGCCGAGCTGACATGCTTCACATTCAAGTTAAGACAAATGGCTTAAATCCAGAATAACTAACTTACGGGTGACCCATACGGAAATGCCATTGCAAGGGAGACACTGTTGCACACAGAACAACAAAACTAGGAGGAGAACTAGCAGTGTCCAAAAAATATAAGCCATTCTTCTCATGCCCCGAACCAATCATCTTCTTGGTTTGGAGGTCTTGTAAAACACAAGAAGAGGGAGAAAAGGTTATAGAACAATGTAGAACTTTAGTTAATTGACTAACAAAAAGCAAATTAAAAGGAAAGGACGGAACATAAAGACTAGAGGGTAAGGAGAGAGATGAAGTGGGTTGAAGAGTGCCTTGGTCACTAACAGGTCGGGAGGATCCATCAGCGAGTATAATATTACGGGTAACAGGACGAATAGTATGAAAAAGTGAGGAATTACCAGAAATATTAGAACTAGCACCGAAGTCTAAAAGTCAAGGTTAAGGGGATTGAGCCATATATGCAATATTACCTGAGCTAGCTAAGATAGCAGTAGAAGATGAAGGAAAAGTAGTACGAGAATTGACTAGCTCTATCTCAGTAAGCTCACTAATCTGGGTGGTGAGTGCATCATTAGAATCAGTTGGGGAAGCACCTAGTCCAGAGGGAACTAAAGTCGACGGAGAGGAAGAAGCATCCATAACCTGATTCATATGATCAGGTTTACCATACTTCTGCCAACACAGAGGTTTAGAATGACCCAAGGAACCACAATGAGTACATTTTCGATCACCACGAGATACAGCACCAATACCACGTCCACTGCCACCACGAGAATCATGAGAATAACGACCACCACGAGAACCACGTGAACCAGTATGGGATTCATGAGAACTAGTGCTGCCAGGAAAATTACCCGAGGAGGCCATCGATCACTACTGTTAGAGATCAAGGTAGAAAAGGACAAGGGTTAACCAGATGTGGAAGAACCCTGGCCCAAAGTAGAACGCAACAATCGAGAATAGACTTAGCAGCAGAAGGTAAAGTCTCACTAGTGAGAATCTGATCTTTGAAACTCGTAGATCAGAATCTTGGTCCAAAAGTAAGGATGCCATCATAAACTCCTCCCAATACTTTTTTTGTTAAGCCAAATCAGTAGTAAAAGGTCGATGCTGTAACAATTGATCCCACAAAGTCTTCAGGTCACTATAATAGTCAGGAAGAGGGCGGCCAAACTGGCGAGTAGCAAAGATCTGCTCATACAACTCATAAACATGAGAGACATTATTTTGATTGGAAAACGACTTAGCAATGGAGTCCCAAATGGCCTTAGAGAAGTCACAAAATTCTATTGTAGTAGTAACATTACGCTCCAAACTATGCCAAAGCCATCCCATAGCACATGAATCCTCACTCAACCAATCATCGTAGCCTTTATCATCCTCAATAGGTGGAAGGTCAGTAAGAAAACGCAACTTCTTGCCACGCAAGAAAATTTTAACTGCATGAGCCCAAGCTAGATAATTCAGAGCATTAAATTTCTTAGTGATAATAGACTTGGGGAACTCATCGCCCTTAGTTATGGAAGATTTCACATCATGTTTTGGATCAGCCATGATCAGGAGAACAACTAACAGATGCAAAGGAAAAACAACAAAACACAAGGATAATCAACCAACAAGAACAGAGTGGAGTAAGGAAATTACCAACCAATAGTAACCAGCAAGTAGCCAAACAGCCCAAAAGAAGAGCCAGAATGATCAACCAAGGCAAAACAAAGGTGCCGAACAAGGAAAATCCACTAGAAATCAGCAAAAAATCAACCCAGCAGCAACACGAAGCAAAAACAGACTCAAGGATAGCCTCCTAGGGCTATTTCGGTCCCAAGGAAGAGGTTTCAACAATCAAAAGAGTCTGCTTAAGGAGCTTTATCGCAAATCAGAAATACGATACCATTAACTCGAAAATCTTTCAAAAATAGAAACTCACACAAGATGATTTCAAAAAAAATTCACAAAAATCACCATTGAGATCAGAAGAGGGAGACGACCAAGAAGGGGTTACCTCGTCCGTACAGTTTGTGATGTCATGCTGTCGTCATCGTACGAAAGATGACGTCAACACATCATTGTCACCTCAAAGGAATCGTGAGTGACTGAAGAACATTTTGACAAGGTTGAATCGTCGCTCTGATGCCATGTTGAAGTGTAAAAGTATGGAAAACTTTGATTAGGGCTAGAGAGAAAGGGAGAATGAACAAAGAGAGGACTGCTATTATTAAACGTATGCTTCTTGGTTCCTTTGATAAGCCTAAAACATCAGCAAATATATAAAATACAATACGACCATAGTACCCTCACTCAACACAAAAAATAACATATATCACTATATATTCTAACAGTTAGGTTAGGCTGATTTGTTTGTTTCTATTTATCTAGTTGTGTGGAGCTTGTTGCATACTTAATTGTGTGGTGCTTCAAATTGCACTCACATAAATTTCCCACCCACTTTTTGTAGCAATCTTTTCATAAATTGTGGCTTTATTAGACTACAACCAGGGATCCTTTGGAGTAAATGAGCTAATTAACAATTAAAAAAATTCCTGACAGATGCTTTCATCAAAATCTGGGTTAATTAGGCTGTGTAAATTTTGTCAAGGATCTTTTGGCCATGTCATCCTGGATTTACCAAGCCGGCTGGTCAGAGCTTGAAATGAAGCAGGAATAATGTGGTTGTTTAATTGGGTTTTAATTTGGCCGACAATTTGTGTCTTACTTCTGCGATCTGTTAATTGTTAATTGCAATTATTGTATTATCACCAGTTGGTATTTGGATGCGCTGTATAGCCTTCAGAGATATTCTAAATTTGTGATACCTGGATTTCAGATATTTTTTAACATTTGCGAGTTGGAATTTTGCCACTGAAGCAGAAATTACATCTGCTTTCCCTATACTCAACCCCTGTATGTAGAGGCCTTTGTTATAGAAAGGATTCGCTAAGGGGTGAGTAATATGTGAGCAATATGTTTAGTGTCGTTGTCAAATCTAATCCAATTTGTACTTGAACGTTGCCAGTCACCACTGTGTATTGGTTTCCATCATTCTGAGATTCACAAATTGTCAGGTCTCTGTCATTGTGAAAACATAAGTCGCCAAATGCTTTAGATATTCAATTATCATTTTTTGAGAAGTTTGATCTTCCTTCTTGTTGTTCAATATTCAAATAAGTTAATGTTGAAACAGAGCATTTCTACCTAGTGGGCCAAATACTTAGTTGCCTAGTGACCCCTTACCCATGACAGCTCTAGGTAAACTGGGAGTCGGGGTTCAGAGATAATCTCTTGTTTTATGTGTACAAGTGGCTGCCCTTGGACTCGAATGTTTCATGCTTGACTGCCCAACTTTGTGTAAATGCAGCAAGCAATGGACCATTTGGAATACCTCCATGTGAAATTTTATTCATTGTTTATCTTCGGCTCTGTTGGTTTATTGTTTTTGTTCTGGAGTTTGTATGCTGTGAATGGATTTTGTTTTTGCACATTCTACTTGTTTTAAAAAATTTGTTATCTAAAGAAAGAACATAAATGTGATATTGGGCTCAACTAGTTTTTATTTATTTATTAATAGAATGCAATACCCTTCTGCTGACCATTGGAAACCTGCCAACCACAGTAACCATATTTTGGGCATTCTTTTTACTGAAAGGGGAGCATGAAGAGCTTTAGTTGAAAATTGAAATTTACTTTTAATAATTGTGTTTAAGCCATTTCAAACTAATGACATTTGTACTTTCAGTAGAAAGAATGGCAAAGGGGAAAAAATCCATCGTCTTCTAGTCAGTACATAGATCCTGATTTCTCAAAAGAAAATATAAATATGTTTGCATTTCTTCTTAGTTTTTGTTATGGAATCATATTTACAGTTGGCATTCTCCCTTCTCTGCGGAAGTGTAATGGATTGTTTTTTTTTTTTTGTTTCCCCCCCCTGAATGCAGGAATAAAGGACTAGTATCGTTCATTACTGAAAATTTTTTCATCATGTATCAGTCATCTCATATCTATTGTATGTATTGGAAGGTATGTCTTTTCACATCAAAATGTGGCAGTGGCGTTTGGTAACCAGGCATTTAGCTGCAAGTTGAAGGAAGCTTTTTTTTGTTTGTGTGTATTGCTTCAGCATTTGTTGCCTGCTCTGATTCACCAGTTGTTTTGATACTGCCTTATAATTATAACTGCATTCTCTCTTTACCACGCTCAAGCTGCATGGATTCCTAATAGGTTGCCTTTAATTGAAGTTCAAATTCTACACACTATGATTTCTATTGTTTGTTTTTCCATTTATACGATAATTTGCTTCTCATTTTGGCCTTCCCTCAATGCTTTGGTGTTTATTTTTAATTTTTTGTTTTTTTGGGGGTGGGTTGGTGGCCTTTGGGTTAGCAGTATCTGGTCATCTCTAAGTTTGAGCCATTAATATTATCTGGTGAAGTGTGAGCATGCTTGGATAAAGCATCTTGGAATTAATGACTGGGTTCCCACCTGGAGTGGTCTAGTCTCAATTTGTAGATGAAGAGGGCATAAAGAGCTACAAGGATATAATTCTAAAATGGGGACAACTCTGTCTGGACTTGAAATCCTTACTTTGTTGTTAAACACTAATTTAGGGTTGGTTTGGGGTGTTCTAAAAAAGTGCACTTATTGGCTTATATGGGTTGGGTTTGGGTTGGGTTTGATGTGATGTGTTAGAGAGGTGATGTGATTTAAATAAGATGATGTGACTTAAATAGGATAGTGACTTTTTGACTTTTTGTATTATTTAGGTTATGCCAAACTTTACTTTAATATAAGATAATAAGAAAACAATCACCTCATTCTAGACACTGTAAGGACCCATACAAGACAAGGACAACTGTATTATATGTAAAATCCTTACCTATTGGTACGCACTGAATACAAGTTAATAAGAAAAGAACACCTCAAGCAACAATTTTAGAAATATTTTAATTTTGTTACGAAAAGATGAGTATACTTACTCTTTGATATTTACTTGCCAATATGAAAGATATCCTTGTGATAGACGAACACAAATATTTTTGTGTTCAAATGTATGAAGCTACGGACTTTGCAGATGCTACACACCTAGGGGTATAGTGTACCACATCAATGCTTCTATTAGTCCTTCCATTCCATGATTTTGGCACTTGGCGTATGCGATATGGGATTGTTTTCGTTTCTTTGGAAGAAGGATGTGTTTTATGGTGGTGTGGAAATTCTCATTGACGATTGATGGTGGAACATGTGAATTCTTGTTAGGATTGATGATGGAACATGTTTTAGACCTGTTCAATAGGAACCTGCAAATCAAGTTTCAAAATTGGGTGATATTTTTCTTGGTATGGTTTCTTCATGATGGATGAGGGCAGGAAGTGGACTAGAAGCCTGGAATTACATTTGCTTGTGTAAGACTGTTACAGATGTTGATGGAAGGGGTCAGGATTGGGGGATTGACTGATGTTGAAGGGACTTTGTAAAGCTTGCTAAGCCATGTGGTCTTATGAATGTGATGTCAAATGGGTGCCTCAATAAATACATATGAGCCAATTAGTCGTCTAAAAAACATGCCAGTGTTCTACATCCATCACATATCATGGGACCCATTGTGCTGGAACTCTTGGATATGCGTCTAGTTTCGGTAGATTTAGGCTTTTTGGCTTAGGAAGTACGAATGACGATCTTTGTCTTAGCGTTGATGAGAAATGTTCATTTCGGATTGGAAGTAAATGAGTTCATTGCTCAAGCAATTTGGATAACTCTCAATGTAAACTTTCTTGTTGCATGAGCTAGGGAGAATGTTGTATGAGCTAGGGAGAATGTTGTGTTAACTTGTTGATGTGTTGATATCTTTGTTCTTGAGTTCTGGGTTCATCCATCCTTTATTGAAATTTTTTTACAAAATTGACTTAAATATTTCTCGACTTATTAGTTGGTGAGACAACTCATTTTGTTGACATCTTGGTGGGATTGGCAACTTAGGTTTACAAACATCACACAACTTATTAAATTAGTTGTTGAACATTAAGTTAGTGTGGGTGTTTGTGTTTCTGGATGAAATTTGCTGGTAGTTTTATTCTTTATTCTTAAGTAGTCATCTCTTGGCTTACTGATGATATGATACACTTGGTTCTACTATCTTGGTTAGTTAATTCTTTGACTGAGTTTATCCCTTGTCCCACCTTTCCAAGATCAAGGCAATTACTCTGGTTGTGCCTCTCCATGGCAATTGGCTCGGTGTTGATCCGACCGAGTTATGCTAGGCAATATCCATCAAACGGTATCCATCGCATGATTTCCTTTGAGCAGTGTACACTGATTGGCCTTCACCGAGCTGATCAACAATCTATACTCAAGGAACCTTAGTACTACTACATCAAATCTAGGCTAGGAGTAGGGCCTATGAACCTTCATCAAGGACTTGTGGTTTGGAGTTGAGACTTGAGAGTTTAGGGATTGGTAAGGTTGCCTGCCTCACCCTCACTTGGTTGAACCTTGATTGACTATAGAGAGAGAGAGAGAAAAGAAATGTGATGATGTGACACCTCGAAGGACCCTACAATTGCAGAGCTTTGATACAACGTTTGAGGATGAACATAGCTACGTACTGCAGTCCTATGAGATGACCTCTGAGGTTTGATCATGGGCATAGTAAATAGTTGGGAAGCCTTTGGTTTGTCAAATCCAGGGGTTAATAATCCACTTGTCCGCCAACATGGTACATTGTGCTTTGGCTAAGCTGACCCCCATGACCTTCTTCATGCATGCAAAATAACACAAACATGTTATCAATTATCTCCCAACAAGCTAAGAGGGTCTATCTCTAGTTTGTACTATCGTCACCCTCTCTTCTTCTAGAGAGCTGCCTTAGCTCTCACCAACTCCACCTCCGATGGTCCTTGCCGTCTCAATGCCTACCATCTTTCCTAGAAGATCCTATGTAAGGGCCAAACATCCATACATTTGAAATATAATGGCTTTAGATTGAGCATGGAAGCACACGAGTCGTGCTTTTGCTATATTCTTTCAATATTTAGGCTCTGTTTGGAAGGATTTTCAAATCCTAATTCTACCCACATTGTAACATCATGTTTGGATAGAGTTTTGTAATTAGTTTTCCACAACAAACACAAAACTCTGCAGAAAACTCTGTAAAGCGCGATTTTTGAATTTTTTTTTTCTTTTTGAAATTTGGCCTAACCGGACGTCCCACCAGTCATCCGGCCGGTTGACTGGAATAGGGGAATTTTTTTTTTTTGACATATGTTAATTTTTATATATTTGAATAAAATATATTCTTAATTTTTTTAAATTTTTTTATGTGCTTTAATAGAATTTTGAGTTGTATGTTTGGTTATGAGTTGTAAGTTTTTGTATCAAATATCATATGTCACATCAAAAATTTCCCATTCAATTCAAAACTCTTTCACCAAACAAATTTTCTACATTCAAATCATAATTTCAAAACTCACAAACTCAAAATACAACTCATACTCTCAAATCATATTTACAAAACTCTACCAAACACAACCTTAGGCTTTTAGATTTGGTTTTGGAATCAATTTTGTTCTCGACTTAGTTTAAAATCCCTAGACTTAGACTTATCAAAAAATAAAAAATCCAAAACTTAGAATTTTCATACATTTAGGTGTTGTCTGGTAAAGTGTACAATTTATTGTTTGTTATTTATAGAAATATCAAGCAAAAGCGTGTTAGGTAGTACACGTGTCTTAAAATTGTTTGGAAAGCAAGTGAAATGGGTGACTGGTGGGAAGTGGTGATTGAAGGTGTTTGTTGACAATCCTGGATTGTGGTCGGATGTGGTTTTTTACCGTGCAAAGGTGGTTATCGGAGGTTGTTGCCTACCATCGAAGGTGAGTAGCGGTAGCCAAAGGTGGTTGCTGACGGTTGGTCGCTAGATATGGTGGTCAAAAGTGGTTTCTCGTAAGAGTATTAGCGAAAGGTGGTGGTGGTTAGTAGTGGTTGGTGGTGGTTGGAGGAGGTCATCGGTGATGGTGTTGGTAATGAGCGCGGTGGGTGGAGGAAGGGAAAAAAAAACTTTTTCTAAACAAAATGAAAATACATATTGTGGGTGAGAGGGGTTAGAGGTGCTCAGTTGTGGACCTTTATGAAGATGGCAAGCACTTCAATGACTCACTATCCTTGGATCTAAAGGAGATGAAGGCCAAGGCACCCTTAGAGATAGAGAGGGTGGTAGTGAGAGACCTTGAACACTTACTATTTGTGTACAAGATAGGTTAGTGCTCTTATCTTGCTATTATTAGTTTGTGATTATGATGATAGTGTTGATTTGTTGTGGTTGTGTTCATGATACCGTTATATATACTGTAGGAGTGTTGATGCTCAAGGAAGCTATGGACATGTGGCAAGCTCTTGTCGACTCGACAAGTAGTGATATTAGTCCTACTGCTATGTTCTACGATTCAAGCCTTTGGGCAAGCTGCATAATAGGAACTCCAGAGGTATAGGAATGATATCTCGGGGATTATATCAAGTGTGAGTGTAAGGTCAACGCCCTCTCTCTAAGTTTGGCCAAGGTGGAGCTGTCATCCTAGGAGAGACAACCAAGCGACTTTGGTGAACCGATGATCTTATCCTTTACTTCACAATCCTCTAATTATCCTGTGTGGGGATGCCTAGGCCTTGCTTCCAACCTAGGCAGCCAAGTGGTCAAGTAGAATGAGTGAGCACATAGGTGAGCCAAGGGCCCAACCTAGCAGTCAAGTGAACATAGGTTAGTCAAGAGCCCAACTATGTTGTCATTGAGTGAGAATGAGTAGGGAGAGAGTGTTCCCTGTTAGAATGAGGCATGAAGGACCACGGCTATCTAGTGCTCCAAGTGAGTCATGGTGCTGCCAAGTGAGCAAGCTTACCTCCACTACATGAGCCATGTCAAGCTCTTCATATTTTGGCTCATTTGTCTTGGAGCTCCTATGATTGGGCGGCAACTGCACTAGTAAACTCCGTACTTGGTTTGCGTGTATGCCCTTTCTTAGGCTAGGCATACAACCCTAAGGGTTATGGTGTCTTGGGGGTTTGCCATGTGGGGGTGTGATAGTGATTATGTGGCGCCCGTAGGGCTAGCCATGTTCTCCCAACAAACTAAGAAGGTCTATCTCTATTTTGTACTATCGTCACCCTCTCTTCTTCTAGAGAGCCGCCTTAGCTCTCACCAACTCCACCTCCGATGGTCCCTGCCGTCTCAATGCCTACCATCTTTCCTAAAAGATCCTATGTAAGGGCCAAACATCCACACATTTGAAATATAATGGCTTTAGATTGAGCACGGAAGCACCTGAGTCGTGCTTTTGCTATATTCTTTCAATATTTAGGCTCTGTTTGGAAGGATTTTCAAATCCTAATTCTACCCACATTGTAACATCATGTTTGGATAGAGTTTTGTAATTAGTTTTCCACAACAAACACAAAACTCTGCAGAAAACTCGGTATAGCGTGATTTTCAAATTTTTTTTTTTTTTGAAATTTGGCCTAATCGGACGTCCCACCAGTCGTCCGGCCGGTTGACTGGAACAGGGGAATTTTTTTTTTTTTTTTTTTTTTTTTATTTTTATATATTCGAATAAAATATATTCTGAATTTTTTAATTTTTTTTT